CGTGTGCTTAGTCAAGTTGTATTTTACTTTCCCTGGGGAAGGTGCCCCTGGGGGGGAGGGAAGAAAAGTCTTGAGAATGACCAGTTAGCGATGACAGGATATGTGACAACTTGCTTCTGCCAAGGTTAGGATGGTGACCTGCAAACCAGGAAGACCACAAACATACTGGAACATGAAAATAGCACTGTTATTTAGGGCCGAATTCTTTCCCTCCCTGATCCCAGAACCATAAGTAGCCAGAGATGCCGGCTAAGAATTGCTAAATGAATTGTTTGGGCATCTTGTTTTCCATGGAGTTCCATTTTAAAATAAAAAATGTGGTTTGCTGTTACCCTTTTGGGCTCTGATTGAGTCTGGAACATGCCACTGAAAAAAATTTCAGTTAAAAACATAGCTTTAAAAGAAAAAAACTGGTAGCTTTCGATAAAGGACTAAGAAGGCTAAGCAAAAACTAAAAATGGAAACTGTTCTATTCAGTGGTACCGAGTGGAGATCTTAAAATACACAGAAAGCTGAAATTTAGCAGCTTTCTTTAGTAGAGGTTGGTGTCATTCACTTTGATCCTCAAATTCTTCATTAGAGAGGTGTAGCAAGCACCCAAGCTTTTGCAAATTGGAATCTTGCTCCAAACTTCACCCTTCTTAACATCTGAAAAAATTAGTTGTGTAACAAATGACTGGGACATACGACCTGTGTCCTACAAGTGCCACTAGGTGAGGTCTGGCTTGCTGCAGTATCCCTGGGTGGTAGGAGATAGCAGCCGTAGCATGCAGACGTGTGCACAGGCGTACCAGTGCTGAGACATGCAGTTGTCCAGCAACTGCCACGTGATAAATAGCACTTTGCAACTGTGAACCAGAGAGCGGGTTTGCTTTACTCCTCTGTCCACTCCAGTTACTTAACTGATGGCAGACATCCTCATTAAGGCCCATTAGCACCTCAGGAGCTGTTTTCTGAGCGTGACAAGGACTAACCCTTTTTGGACATTGACCAAAATACATATTCTAAGGGGGGTCAACCCCTTCGATAGTGATAGTGGTAGGGGGAGGTGCAGAACCCTAGAATCCGAACTAACTCAACTCTTCGGCATGAGTTTATATGCGAGCAAGAAATTCTGTAAGTTGAGAAGAACTTGTACAATTGTACAGCAACATTTGGCTCCATGGTGAACTACGGTTATTGTTACCCTGAAATAGCGGTTTCTTGATTTCTCCAGGCTGCTGCAGAACCGCATGGCACAGCCTTCGATGGCTGGAATAAATTTGCTCTGCAGAGAAACTGACCTAGAAGCAGGGATTAGACCTTCCAGGTGCAAAAATCATGGCGGCTCTCGAAAGTGACGCCCAGGGCCAGTGTCAGCCTTTGGCTACCACTCGCCCATGTGGTGACCTTTGTCAGTGCTCCAAGTCCCTGAGGCCTCTCGCTTACTGTGCTGCCTGCAGGGCCACGGCCACGGTAGCAGACTGGGTGTGTGGACACGCAGGAGAGGTGCAGCCCTGGTGGCACTGCCTGCTGCCATGCCACATGCTCCAGTGTAAGCCTGGCTGAAGTTTCCCTCTACCCCTTTGGGCCTCTTGGAGGGCCGTATGTGTATAAAGGTCTTTGCAAACCTGAACCGCTAAATCATTAACAGTGAATTGGACCAGTGAACCAGGTCAGACGAAAATGCTGACCTTTATTTTATAGGAAGGAGGCCAAGATGCAAATGGGAGGAGACTTCCACAGGAGGAAAACGCTCTGGGAAGCGGAGGTCCAGACTGGCAGGGTCAGGGGCCATTCTTTTCTATCAGGGTTCACTGACATGGGGAAAAACTGCGCTGAACTGAGTTATTCTGAGAGATCTCACACTTACTGGATTCGTGGCAGGATTGTGACTTTGGACCTCAGGGAGATGTGAGTTCAGACCTAAGCCTGCTGGTTCCTGAGCCATGTGGCCTTGTAATCTGACTCCTTTGCAATTCAGTGGCCCCATCAGAAATCAAAGACCATTATTTTTATCTCAAGTTGTTCAGAGGGTTAAATTAGATGCAGTCTATGAAAGCTGGTGTCCGGGAGGCATTTAATAAAGGCAGTTTCCCTTCCGTCTTTCTCTTCTGCTTTTAAAAATTAAGATTTAGGAGGACTATAAATACAACCCATAATAAAATGGGGTTCTCAAGTGGAATTCAGGAGAAAGGCTCGACGGCGTGGGCAAAGCCACATGCGGGGGAGCAGGACGGAAGCGGCAGGGTCTCTCACTGTGCGGATCCAGCAGGCCCGGGAAGGTGTAGGCTCACCAAGAAAGTCAAAAGTAAAAAAGCTAAGAAGTCGAAAGGAGCTAACAAAAACATCGTGGGAGTTTGTTGGCCAAATATCTCAGGCGCTGTCTGGAGCCTGGAAACCCAGGAATTTTGGAAATGCTACCCTGTGTTCATTTTCAGCGGTAGAAACCCCAAACTTCCTGCTTTGGAAAGTGGGGGTGGCCGCTGGGATTTTTGCCAAGACCAGGGTTGGCAGTTTCTCTGGCTCGGTGCTGCCACCTCATGTCCATAAGTGGCATTGCGCCTCACCTCCCGCGTTTTGTTTGGTTTGGTTTATTTTGTGGCATTGGAGTTGAACCCAGGGTCTATCACTGAGTCGCACCCCCAGCGCTGGAGACTGAAATTTAAAACCTATTTTGCTTGGGTCTGGATTTTTTGCACTATGGTGATAAGACATTTATTCCTTGTATTTTTCTTCCTTTCTGTTGTAATAGTGAAGCTTTCTGAGATAGTGTGACTGGGGTGAAGCCACCAGCTGCCTAAGTGGGAACTGCACGCTGTGACTCCCAGCTTTTCCGGATACTTTGTCTGGTCTCTCTCAGATTCCATCCCTCGGTCCCTGGGTGAAATGCTGGGGAAGCCAGCCAGCTGTTGACCCAGTATTTTTGCAGCTTTCTTATTATCCTTGAGTTATTTGTGCTGTCCTTGGTTTGTTATTATAGAGATGCTTGCTAGCAGAACTTGCTGGACTCGTTGGGAAAGAGACCAGGAATCAGAAGATGTGGAGATAGTGTGTGACCCAAACAAGCCCTGAGGTCCTTTTGGACCAGGATAGAAAGTGAAGACGGTTTAGGGAACTGTTGGAAGAAAGTATACACTGCCAGGCCTCTTCTTTATGGGAGTGGGGCCAGGGGAG